TAGAGTTGACACGTGTTGTGTTGATTTAAAAAAAAATCTCGTGATAAAAATATGCCGTCGTGCGTACTTAGATATTGCACAAATAATTCAAGAAATGTCAGTAAAAACCAAGGAATTACTTTTCATTGGTTAATAAGATACATAATCAATAAAAGAAGTATTATAAATTAGTTATAAAACAAATTATTCCTAAGACGCCATCTTGTGTCACGTAATATAGATTATGAAATTAATTTGTTGAGATGCGACATTTCTGTGGGTACTTAAATATAGCACGAATATATTATTATACACATTTTTTTTGTAGAAGCATATATAATAATTAGGCCAAATTTTTTATATTTAAATCTGCTAATTATTCTTATATTTTGTTTTTAGGTTTTCACATCAAAGTCAAAGTGGAATAAATTCGTCAATTTTTAACTCTCGCGTGGCCAGTATTTATGAACGGCTCTTATTCTAATTTAAATAAATATATATGTAATTTAAATATTATATTAACAAGTTTTGTTAAACATACATTTAGTAAGTTTTTTTTATATTTGAGATAGATAGACCTTTTAAAATATTGAGATAAAAATATCATTAAAATGTAATTGTGATATAATATTATGTAATATTATATTAAATAAGCAAATATAATATATAAAATAAATGACAAAATTTAAAAAATTGTTCTCGATATAATTTACCTATTTAACAGTACAATCTTTTATTACCTACTGATCATTCTACCTAAGTTTATTCTATATTAAGAATACAAACCGCGCGAACACAGAGTAGCGCACATGTTTTTTTTGAAATAGCTGTTCTAGTACGTAAGTACATATGTATTACTTCAATGGTGGTTGCCAAACGAGGAAAAAAGAATAGAAATTAAACATTGATTTCTGGTGATCATCAAAATATCAATGATGTCATTTTTCTGCTAAAATCAAAATGGCAAAGATCTTTGTTAATTAAAAATCAAAATACAAAACATGGAGTAATATAGAAAAAGGAGTAATAGTATAGTATTTGAGGAGAGGAGAGAGAGGATTAAAGGAGTAGTTTAGTTTGCTTCATGCACTGTCCTGAAATACACCTTCATTGATAACTATTTTGAGTTCTGAATAAGTATTCTTCACGATCTAAGAAGAAGGACAGCGTTTGCGCGTAAAAAGTCTGCCAAAATATCTAACAAGTAGGTAGTTCAAGGCGGCAGTGTGTGCGTTCGCGCAATTTCATGTCGGCGTGTCGGCGAAGTGTGTCGGCCAAAGTTTAATAATTGCGGTGTTCGGTGTCGGTGTAAGTCGAAGCTACCTTAACCTGTTGTCGGCCAATGTACGGCCTCTGTAACTACTACACTTCGCGAAATCGCCTGCCTGCCTACCTTTCCAGTTTCTCGTTGGATTTTGAAATAAATAAATCAAAAGGCGTCAAAACAAGTTTACGTTATAATAATTGTCAGGCTAATATTTCCAATATGGACCATCGATTTCAAAGCCCATATTTTTTTTTGTAGATAGTACTCACTAAAAGAAAGCGTTTTGCAAAGTTTTAGGTTGCGGAAACTTACGGTTCACGAGATATATTTTTTTAAACTTTTCGTACAAATTGGTAAATAACACGCAATTACAAAATAAATTTGACAAATGATTGATGTCAAACGTCAGTTAGTGTAGGGTTCCGAATATTTTGAAAGTGTCGATACCTACTCGATACCAAGTATCGTATCAAAAGTATCAATACTACTTGGTACCGAGTACATTTCGTTAATTTTGGAGACGAAAAATTATGACAAACCAATTAGATGTATAGGAAGAGCTGATAAGTGCAATTATATATGTATATAAAGTAGAATAAAGTTTACTCTATTTAAGTTCCACCTTAGTACTTGTATTTCATTGCTTGCAACTTGTTTGTATTTCTTAATTAGTACAGCTTTTGTACTTTTATTTTATTGTTTGCAACTTTCTGTATTATCTAATTCTTACTACAATAAAGTGTTTACTTACTTATTGACTTACTTATTTAATATCCAAAAAGTACCCAAAACCGAATCAGAGCACCCCACTATCTACGTGGTCTTGTTTTCCTTACCCCTAGAGTATATATAAGAGCCCAGAGGCGCGGAGGGAGAGCAGTGCCCGCCCGCCGTAGGGAAGCGCGGGCACCGAGATCGCCGTAGCGGCTGAGGCTGGTCGCCGAAGGCGGCCAAAAAGCCGAAGCTGCGAAGGCGAGCTCAGGTGCCTGTGCTTCCTTACGCTAGGGCGGAGGCACTGCTCATCCCGCAGCGCCGGAGCTGCCACGGAGTGTAGGAGCACAACTTCCCGGCTTCTTACCCCCCTAGTCCCCAAAATTATCGAAATGTAGTCGATACCAAGTAGTATTGATACTTTTGATACGATACTTGGTATCGAGTACGTATCGATACTTTCAAAATATTCGGAACTCTACACTAATTGACGTTTGACATCAATCATTTGTCAAATTTATTTTGTAATTGGTGTATAGCATTCTCTGTCTACGGTGTAATTGCGTGTTATTTATTTGCCAATTTGTATGAAAAGTTTAAAAAAATATATCTCATGAACCGTAAGTTTCCGCAACCTAAAACTACGCAAAACGCTTTCTTTTAGTGAGTACTATCTACAAAAAAAATATGGGCTTTGAAATCGATGGTCCATATTGGAACTATTAACCAAAGCGCTATTAGTAAAAAAAACCCGTGCTTTAGAATTATTTTCCGAATACGAAAGGTATAATTTAAAAATTTTAGGCTTGAATGAGCAAGATAAAGAAGATGTCTCCGTTGTAGAGGAGCACTATTTCCACATCTTAGCTTTGCAGAGATAAAAAAGCGCGAAACAAAACAATCAAAGACCTATACGCCGACGTCTGCTCCAATTTCTAAGTTGAAATTTCCACCCATTAATGTACCGATATTTAGTGGTAAGTTCACAGAATACGTACCTATCATAAATCTTTTCAACTCTGTTATAGATGATAATGATTCAATAGGTTGTGTACAAAAACTGTATTATTTGCATGCATATCTCAGGGATGAACCCCTGAATTTAATAAAAAACTTACCTTTAACGCAAGAAAGTTATGTAAAAGCACTCGCATTGTTAAACGACAGGTACAATAATAGATCTAAAATTATTATGAGCATATAATCTCCATTTTACCTGAAACCCTTAACAAAGTTAACAGTAAACAACTTAAGAGAATTTGTTTCAAATGTTAAACAGGAACTTGCTGCCTTGATCAATTTAGATCCAAACATTAGATATTGGGATGCTATAATTTTGTGTGTACTTTGCCGAAAACTAGATTTATACACATCGAGAGCATACCAGTTTGAGAGGGACACCAAGTCAGACCCCACCGAGGAGGATTTTCTCAGCTTCGTAGACAAGAGTGCTCTGGCATTGGAAAATGCTGAGCCAGCCCACAGCCAGCCACAACAGCAGCACAAGGATGTAAAGGAGCAGCGTCCAGGCTCATCCATGAGCAAACTGGCAGCCTACACTGCAGCGCAGGAAGCTTCATTTCTATTCTGTAAGTCCAATCATAAATTATACTTGTGTCAAGGCTTTCAGTTATTGCCTACTAATAAAAGGTTACAGTTTGCAGATGAAAAGAAAATATGCCATCTATGTTTAGGTGTGCATGCAGGAAAATGCAGATTTCACTTTCGGTGTAAAGAATGTAAACAATCCGCCTCAATGGCGGCAAATAATTTATTATAATATTAACATAGTAGGGATAGTCAATACTCAAGCCAGCGTGAAGTACAGTGTACCAGTGGAAATACATTCATTAGTCAATTTTCAAGTTTCATTAGTCAAGCCATTCAAATTAGCGACTACTTGTCATGTAGTTGAGAATATCACATGTGAGCTACCACAGAAAAAATTAGGTCTATCAGACTGCGATACAATGTTCAGCCCTTTTTTATGACAATAGTACAGAGACTTTCTAATATTTAAAATTAGCGGGTATCTAATCTTAGAGTGAAAAGGACTGGATAGAATACTTTGAAGGCAACTAAGGCAGTCATGAGGAATTCCTGTCATTTTGTTGTCCAGGATTACTCCTAAAAATTTCACTTGATTTTCAGTGGGGATTAGAGTATTATCAATGTAGATGGACACTTCTGGTATATACCTTCGCCTAGAGAAAACCACAGTACTGCATTTTAAAGGAGACTGATAAACCATGCTCCAATAGCCAATTATTAAGAAAGTTGACAGCTTGGGATAAACGAGAGGTAGCCTCAGTAATAGAGGCATCAGATACATATAAGGCTAGATCATCTGCATATTGCAAAATATTACCTAGATAATTTACAGACTTTATCTATATCATGGGTGTAAAGACTGTACAGCAAGGGGCTCAAGACAGAACCTTGTGGTAGTCCCTTCCAGGTAAATCTAGCTGGTAGAAATCTTCCTTCAGAGCGAATTAATATACGTCTATGTGAAAGTAGGTTTGCTATGAAATGACATCATCGGGATTTCATACATGTTTGGTCCAAATATGAAAGTACCGGCCAATAAAAAAATATGCTGTATTCCGTTAGAACTTGTCCCCCTGAGTATTTATTATTATGACACCAAAGCTGTAGGGTCATTGTCCTTGGTTTTATTGGAGTTCAAAAATTCAACATCTTCATACATTTTCAGTGAATTTAATAAACAAAAACAAATGATTTGTTCTACCATATTTTTATTTTGAACATCGTTTAGTAAAATATATTGGTTCTTGTCCTATTTTCGAAATGTTGATCTTGTTTTGTGTTTTTGAGGATTATAAGTAAAATATGTATACAGGGGTTATTTTGCTTAATTAAACACTATAAAATCATCATCGTCTGGTACAACAATAATGTTCTCCAATCCATAAGCTGGAGGGGTTATTGCTGGCAAATGTCGTGCATGGCTCATGTACCATATAATGCACATAATATGGGAGTAGCATCCAATTGTTCGCTTTCCTATGATGCACGAACATTAATAGTGAGCGATTGCTTGTCGGCCTCTTATCATCCATAAATCATTGCTCTGCAATTCCGCCAAGTCTTCATTTGATAACTCATTGCTGAGCTCATTTGTGAATGCTCCATTGTCAAGGACGTGCTCACCGTAATAGCTTTTGGCCTGTTTTAGTTGATAAACGATCAGAGCGAATAATAATAATTCGTTCTCATCCATTCTTGGAAAATCTACAAACTCTGGCATATCTGCAGTCATTAAAGTAAACTGAGCATGTCTGCGATTGTAGTTATGGCGTATTACAAGATCTGCCAATCTATTTTGCATATTAATTCTTTGGTGGATAATCTCTAAAATCGCAGCAGCATTTGGATTATCTTCAATCAAAACATGAAAACGATTTATCATTGCCGCTGCTATCTTGAAATAGTCGAACATGCTTGGAAGAGCTCTGTTATTATATACATTTCGCAACAGGCGAAAATCTCTTTTGAACCTGCCGTTGACCACTTCAACCACCCGACAGATTGTTACCAGTCTGGACTTATTGGCCTGATCCGTGGTTAGCTGTGTCTCATTTGGATACTTTGTTTGAGGCATATGTTGTACATATCCGCAAGATTCCAGATTTCTTGCTGAGTCTCGAAAACCACGGTCCAGAATAAAAACATCGCCACTCCTATAAAACCAGTGGAAGGCACTGTCAGCATAATTAAGCATATCATTCATTATATCTGCGTCAGAAGTGGTGGCAGCATATGGTCCATTAACTTCGATAATGTGTCCATCACAAGAAACCAAGAGGAACGGTTTTAGGAGGTTAGACTTGCGTTGGAAAAAATAATTTCCACTTTTTTGCAGATAGATGTACGTGCCATCACAAATCGTGATAGCTTTCATTTCATCTTCTGGGCTCGATGGGTTCCCAAACAGATTGTTGGGTAGAAAAAGATTCCTGTGTGCTACATCCTCACGGGAAATATGGTCAAACCCAACATTTAAGGGCACAAAATCTTCTAACAGAGCGTTGCGTCCGATTTTTAACCACGTATGAAACGCTGTTTCGCTACATTTAAAAATATTCGCAAGCCGCGCGTTCGAGTCACCTGTTCTTGACTAATACTGCCGCCAGTACGGTTCTTTTATTCTTTTTAGTTCTCAGACTTGGTAAACTGTCTAATAATAAAGTAAACTGATCTTGAGTCAGTCCTGTCCAAGTATGAAACTCGGCTGGTGCTATATTTTCATACTGCTCAAAATCTAGTATTTCCTCCGTAATATGTCTTTGTAACATCGACACGATAGTCATTATTTGAGCTGCAGTGAATTCCTCAGAAGAGTTGTCTTGTACAGGAAGTAAATGCCACAGATTTTGCTCCACGTGTTCATTACAGACACGCGCGCTTTCTGGCACGAAATAGCTGTAGCGGCATACCATGCGAAAAATTATGTTCTCTGGAACACGACGGCAAGATTCATTCGTACAATGTAGGAAAATGCAACTATTTGCGGTGTTTGGAGCACGAAGAAGACCTGGCAAAATCAGCGAAATTGGTCTTGAATTTGGAACTTCCGATGGATCACGGTCTTGATCAGCTTGCTGTTCAGCCTCCCGAATAAGTCGCTGGTGAGTTCGTTCCGTTCTTTGCCAACAGGGTCGACAAATGAACGCAGTAGGCTCCAACTGTCGAGCTACTATATCTTCTATCACTATTTGGGCGATATCAAGATATTGCATTTCTCTGGAAACCCAATCATATTTTCGCCGATTCTCTGTCGATGCACGGCACGCGATACACAACTCTGCCATGACTCGCAGCAATGTTCAAACTTAACAACGGAGGTAACAAAAACAAAACAAATCAAAGCACAAGGACTAGTGGGCATCACACAGACATACACGGCAGCGTTGCTTTCGGTACTAAACAATAAACGCGAATGCTAGCAAACGAATGAGCCTGGCGCGATGGTGGTAGTTCGCGGGAAAGAGAGGGGCATCTGCTCGCTGCACCGTATTCCATTGTTCGCGTGAGTGTTTACCTGCGCGGCCATTGTTATTGCCATTTTATAGGAAAAAGTCCCGGCATCCCAGCCGATTCTGCAGTAATATTAGTGATTTAAATGTTATCTTGTCCAAAATAGGTCAAGAACCAATATATTTTACTAAACGATGTTCAAAATAAAAATATGGTAGAACAAATCATTTGTTTTTGTTTATTAAATTCACTGAAAATGTATGAAGATGTTGAATTTTTGAACTCCAATAAAACCAAGGACAATGACCCTACAGCTTTGGTGTCATAATAATAAATACTCAGGGGGACAAGTTCTAACGGAATACAGCATATTTTTTTATTGGCCGGCACTTTCATATTTGGACCAAAAAAGATGATGTCCTTTGTTATTTTCTCGGGAATGTTCAGCTGATGCATTTTTTGCCTGAGCAGAGGGAGAACAACATTATCATATGCTGCACAAACATCGATGAAAATACCTACGAGAAAGTTGTTATTGGAGAATGCTATTCTTATATCAGATACTAAAATGCTAAGGCTATCCATTGTAATAAAACCTTTTCTAAAACCAAATTGGGTCTTTGATATAATGCCTGTATTTTCGAGAATCCACTCAAGGCGATTTTTTACAAGATGTTCCATGACTTTCGACAGGGTTGATGAAATAGCAATAGGGCGATAGCTTAATGCGGAAGAGGGGTCTTTACCAGGTTTTAGAATAGGAATAATAATATGTGTTTTCCAGTCATCTGGAATAGAACCGGTTGTAAATACCATGTTAATTATGCTTAAAAAGAACTGCTTACACATAGTACAGTACCCATATTAACAAGGAATGAGTAGGGGATACTATCAGCGCCAGGGGAGGAATCCTTAAGGTGCCTAAGAACCAACTGCAATTCAGCTAGTGAAAATGGTTCATTAAGATTATTAGGAGTTAAATGAGTGAGGGGGGAATGGTTTTGAGGAAGGAGATATCTCTTCCTCCAATGGAACACAGGGGGGAGCCAGACGGTTACTGAAATCTTCTAGCCAATGGAAGGGGTCTGCACAAGGGGAATTGCTATCATCTGAAGCGCCACGGAATTGCCTAATACGTTTCCAAACCAGAGAAGAAGGAGATCAAGGAGCTAAGCTCTCACAAAACGAAAGCCATCCTTTTTTTTTCTTTTCAGAAAGAAGTTTTTTGGACTGAGCAGTAATTTTCTGATAATTAAGAAAATTTTCCATTGACATATTAGAGGAATATAGCCATTCTGCTGCCTTTCGTTTTTTAATAATTGAGGAACAGTCTGCGTCCCACCATGGAGGTGAAGAAATTTTACTTGTGGAGGAATTCTTCAAAGGGAAAATTTTGTATGTTATATTATTCAGAAGGGTTATAAATTGGGAATAGGCACTCTGGATGTTATCTGGAGATACAGGGGGGAAGATTATTGATATTAATTTCTGTTTCCGAGGAGAATACATCCCAATCAGCTTCAGACAGATTGAATTTAAGAAGGGGTGATAAATTTCGAGTAGGAATACATCTATTACTTAGGTTTAAAAGGATGGGAAAGTGATCACTTCCAGAAGAAGAAGGGAGAGTTTTCCATGATATGCTAGCAGCCAGAGTTGGAGAGCACAATGACAAGTCTACTGCAGATATAGAATTCTGCGAAGGTTAGGCCATTCTGGTGGGAGAACCGTCATTTAGGAGACAAAGATTAAATTCATTAAAACATCAAGTAGCAGATAAGAAAAAGAGTCAGATTTATGAGAACCCCACATAACATGATGGCTATTAAAGTCTCCGAGGATAAGGTAAGGTGGAGAGATGCTTAGAATTAAATTGAGTTCTGATATACAAGAAGGAGTGGTGGCCGGAATGTAAATGGATAGGATTGTGATGTCCATAGCCTTAACAGCTACTGCATTTATATTGCCTTGTACAGGAGGAAGAGGAATGGGTGATAAGGGAATGGTCCTGTTAAGTAAAACCAGAGCGCCACCATAGCCGTCGCTCCTATCACTACGATAACAGGAGAAGCCTGGGATTCTAAATGTGGAGCCTGGCTTAAGCCAGATTTCCGATATTGCAAGTATAGAAGGGTTATGAGTATTAATTAAGTGAATTATATCAGGTTTTTTATTCCTGATGCTCCGACAATTCCACTGGAGGAGGGTTAGGGATTCGAACTTTATATATTCTTGAGAAGAGGACATCTAGTTTGCTTTTCACGTTGAACGGTAAATGGGAATCATCGAATTTGCCAACAATATCTGTAAGAGAGGCCACAAGATTTTCTAGAAGGTTATCATTAGGGGATGTTATATTGCTTTGTATAGCATGCCTTTTGGGAAGAGAGGACGAAGGAGCACTTGTAATGTTATAGTGTGAAACTTTATCATATCCTTGTGTAGATTGCACTGGCACAGATTTGGCTTTATAAATAGTTTTCCTATAGGACTGAGAAGGAGACAGAGTAGGAGGGTTTACCGATGCCTGAGGAGATGGGAGATGGCTTACAGGAATTTGTGAAGATGCAACATCAGAATAAGGTCTTCTGACAGCCGGGAAGCGGGCGGAAGCCTCAAGGTATGATACATTCTCTTGTGACATTACTATTTTGATAGCTTTTTGCCTTGAGTGCTCTGGGCAACTTTCAATAGCCATATGATTTGCCGAACAGAAAAGAGAGGTTGGGGAATCTGTGGGACAATTATCTCCGGTGTGCTCTTTGCTGCATTTAAAGCATCGTGGTTTCGATCATTGAAAGAAAGAGATAGAAAGAAAGAGATATTTATTTGGCCATTTATTAAAAAATTAGCAATAAATACTTAAAATATACATTATGTTTAAGTATTCTTATAATTAGACTTAATTATACACGTACACAAACTTAAAAAAAAGTGAACAGCTAAATTAAAACAAAAAAAGTTTTTAAAAAAAATGGGAAATGGTCCAAATAGGACTGCCACTCAGGAAACACTAAGATGTGTCATCCTAGCCCTGATTTTCAGTGGCTACCTTAAGTACATTATATAGATACACACATTATATATATATATATATATATATATATATATATATATATACACTATATATATATATATATATATATATATATATATATACATACATATAAATAGGTATATATACATACATACGGATAACACACATACACATACACACATGGGCACGTATAATATATACTTATTTGGATTAATAATACAATTATATACACAATTGGTAGGTTTTTAATATTCTTTTTATATTTACTTTTGGGCCACAACTGCCTTATCTTTGTAGTGCTATACCGGACGTTTACGAATGTTAATTTCATTGCATAACTGGAACCAAGGATATAAAAATAATTTAAATTTCATATAAAAACACTTATACACAATAGCAACCCGAGACATATGTTCAACATTACATGTTACTCCATCCATTTAGCATGTTTTATCACAGAGCCTGCGCTAACACTAGGCGCGCAATGGAAAGAAAATAGTGTAATTAGATTGTACACCCGTGACGTATGAAGGAAAAAAAGACAATTATACGCACCGGAACATACATAGATATACACGCTAAAGCATAAAAACATAAAATTTTAAATTGATACTCTACGATTGTAGCTGTTCGTTTAATAGTATGGCTTTGTATTTTGTACGAAAACTGTACACTGATTGTAGGTTTCGAAGAGGCGGTGGAAGGTTATTCCAGCACTTAGTTGCGGCATATCTGAAGCTCCCTCGGAATGCGGTAGAATGATGTATGGGTATGAGCAGCTTGTACGCCGAAGCTCTTGTCGAATTCGTAGCATTGTCTCGTGCCCATTGTAACTTATTATGAAGATAGGAGGGAGTTCTCGTTTTGATTGTGCCAAACAATAAAGTGGCGAAATGTAGTTGCCAACGGTAATCCATTTCAAGCATTCTTGCGTTGTTAATTTAAGGTGTTACATGGGCACGTGGAGGAATTTTATAACAGAAGCGGGCACAGGCATTTTGAACACGCTGGATAAGTTTCGTTGAACGCTCGAGAAGTCTAGGCCTTAATACCGCGTCATCGTAGTTAAATTTAGATAGTACTAACAATTCGCATAATTTCTTACGCATCTCTGTGCTTAAAACATTTCTGATTTGGTACAAAACTTTCAACCGGTAAAAGCAGTTCTTAGCTGTATTAATTATCTGTTTTTCAAACCTCAGTTGCTCATCCATTACAATTCCTAAGTTTCTCGCCTCGTTAACACGCTCAACATTTACATTTTTTATTTTTACCATTGGGTGGGCAGCTAACACTTTACTGATTTGTGCTTTAGTACCGAGTAGCATGTATTTTGATTTATTAGGATTTAAAACTAAGGTATTTGCTTCAGACCAATCTGCTATGTGATTTAGATCATCATTCAACTTTTGTATTGCATCGGTACTGGGGTGGAAGGAAATATATAGCTGCACATCATCAGCATATATGTGGTACTTGCAGTTTGTTATGCTTTTTGTAATATCTGCACTATACAAGGCAAAAATCAAAGGCAAAAAGGCAAAAACAAGGCAAGACCCAGTATTGAGCCTTGCGGCACTGCTCTCGCAACAGGAGACCATTCGGAAACTGTTCTAGAGCCGTCACTATTCGTTATTTCGACAATCTGCCTACGATCCCTAAAGTAACTAGCAAACCAGTCGACTGTGTCGGAACTAAACCCATAAACCTAAATTTTGCTAGCAGTAGACGTCTATTTATTGTGTCAAATGCACGGGAATAGTCCAAAAGTACTAAAATAGTAGCCTTACCAGAGTC